GGGGGTAGATGAACAACAATGAACTAGACATTAAGGTTGACTAAAGGTTAGCCAATATGAGTCATAGCAGTCACCAGTCACCCATCAACAGGAAAAGATGGCTAACAGTTAGCCTAACTGCCTGATAGCTTGGCTACAGCACGGCTGCTAACCAGATTGAGTGTTTTTCTTCTTCTTCTTCTGTCCGTGTGATCGTTTGTTACCACATGTCTGGACCGAGCCCTCACTTCCTGTTAAACACACCTACCAGCAGCATCAAAGCTGCTGGAATGACAGCATCATGCAGGTGTGTGTGTGTGTGTGTGTGTTAAATGACACCAGCAGACTGTTTAATTTACATCCCTCTCCTGAATAATAATCCCACCTCAGAGCTTCTTACACACACACACACACACACACACACTCACACTCACACACTGCTAAGACAGGGCTTTGACGTCCCTGTAATTAAAGTCAAAGCCGGAAATATTAAATACTAAGAGGACAAGTGTGTGCGTGTGTGTGTGTGTTTGGTATGTCAGTAGGAAATGTTGGCAGTTTAAAAATGTGTTCAAACACACGGACTCTATGAGGTTTATTCCATCGGTGATGGTATGTCTCCATCTAGTGGTGAGACATTAGAACTGATAAAAAACTCAATGACGTGTGCTGTCGTCAGAGTCAAGGCCAAGGGGCCCTTTCTACTTTTGATTTTGTTTTATTTAGTGCTTATTTAAAGAAGACGATATTTGTCATTTTTTGTCTTTTTATCTATATATCTATATTATAATAACACTTAATAAATCTGTGTCATATGTTTGGATGTATTTGTTAATTAAAAATATAACAGGAAACCTTTCACATGATCTTTTGGATTAGTCACATTAAAAACAGGTGAGAAACACTGACCTCTACCGGCTGTTGTTGGACTGACTGTTCCAGGAACATTCAGGAAAAAACGTATTTAGGAATGTTGATTCATCTCAATTAATCATAATTAATTACAATCCAGATTAACCATGGTTCTGATGATGTTTTAACAGCTGAACTAGTCTTTACTACGACATCTGAGTTCAAATAATGTCATTTTATTTGTTAGATATTAATGAGAAGGTGACCTGACCTGCTCTTTGGTAAAACAAAACAAAAAAACAAACAAAAACTGTTTAGTCCAAATAAGAAGTACAGACCAGTGAATGTGTACAGTGTGTGTATAGTACGTGTCAGTGTGTGTGTGTGTGTGTGTGTGTGTACATGTGCTTCTCCACAGGCTTCTGGACCTTTCTATAAATAGAAAGCAGAAATATGAAAGGAGACTGGAGCCAAGACATGTTAATAACTCAGTCACTGAGGAACAGTTGGTGGGTGAGGGTATCTATGGGGGGGGGGCACTGACTGACCATCACACAGTTCCACTCTCAGTGGTACCAGTACGGTTCTGTTCCACAAACCACAGAACATCAACGTCTGTGGATTAGACACAACAACGACGACTACCACAATACAACAACAGCACCCCCTGCAGGAGTGTTTGGATGTTTGTAAACATTTCTTCACCATCCACCACTTAATCATTTGCAGGGTTTTTTTTGGGGGGGGGTCACACCACAGGGTCACAAACACTCAGTTCAGAGGTCAAAGTCAACTAGTCTTATGTTGTTGGACAGTGACACCATCACTAACTCCACCACTAGTTACAACCAGGACTGGAGTTAGTGACCTTACTGTGGTAAGGCAAGAACAAGCACCACTCTCCACCGCGTGGCCGCCTGTTAAAGACAATAATCCATATAATAATAATAATAATAATTCAACTTGTTCAAGTTGTTCTGATGTTTTTCCTCTTCTATGACAGTAAACTGACGACAACATAACTATTTAGAGGTTTTGGAAACACAACAACATTTAACACTGGTAAATATTTGTTTGTTTGTTTTAGACCAGTGGATAAATCTGTGGAGCACCTCATTATACTATATATAATTATCATGTTGTAAAACAGTACGTCACAGCCAACACTTTAGGACTAAATATTAATAATATTTAATGTTTTTCATTTATATTTTACCTTCTGTATTCGTGTTCATTTAGTTTAACTGTCTTTTCAACTTAAAGACTTCCATTTTCTTGACAACCATGAATAAGCAGAAAGCCTGGGCTGGGCGTCATCAAGCTACACAGGACAAAAGCACTTCCTGTTAGCACTTTCACAATACGGACAAGAGGCGACGGTTGAACGTATCTTCTATTGTTAAAAACGCGTCTATAATCGACTTATGTTAATGATATCTATTTAACATTTCAAAAGGTTTTTAACCTTTTCTCACCAACGAGGTGTTTTGACTTAAGTTTGCACCGAAACGATCTTTCTGATTTTATTGTGAATTCGCACTTTTCCGACTTCCTGCCTGTGCTCGCCTCCATTTAGTGGACGGTCAGTCGTCGTCACAACAAACATCACATGAACGACACCGACGGCAGCGGCTGGTACTCACACAGTCGGATCCAGTGGTCACACATGCCGAGCAGGGCGCTGTAGAAACACTGCAGTAACGTCATCGCTCACGGCGAAGCGCGAGAACCGAACCGAGCCGAGCAGAAACCTCTGTCTCTCCGCCTGTATTCGTCTCACACTCTGTCGATATCGGATCTACGTGATCTCACCCCCGCCCTTCTCCAACACTTCATACCATCCAGTTCTGGGTGGGACGGTCCCGAACACAGCCGTGATGAAACTCTAACAGCAGGGGTGTCCAAACTTTTTCAGGGGGTGGTGGCTTCAGGGAGGGGGGGGGGTGTATTTATTTATATAAAAATGTCCGACTGACCAACAGCAGGGTTATTAAAACTGAAGGTAGATGTTATTCAACAAGATGTAAGAAATATAAAGATAAAGCTGAAATAAAAAGAAAATAAAACAAAATTATTTTTGTTCCTTTACACCACAGGTAAATCTGTTATTATTATTATTGTTGTTATTATTACTATTATCATTATTATTGTTGTTGTTGTTATTATCATTATTATCATTATTATTATTATCATTATTGTTGTTGTTGTTATTATCATTATTATCATTATTATTATTATCATTATTGTTGTTGTTGTTATTATCATTATTATCATTATTATTATTATCATTATTGTTGTTGTTGTTATTATCATTATTATCATTATTATTATTATCATTATTGTTGTTGTTGTTATTATTGTAGCTCGTTCTACAAAAACCTTCACTCATCAAAGATTAAAGAAAACAATCAAAGCAGTTTGATGATCGTACAGTGTTTGTTTGAATGTGGATTCTAGTGACTGATTTACACATATATTTAATTGTACTTTTTTATATTTCGTACTACTCTGATTCACAGGAACACCGTGTCCGCCCACAGCTGATTGGCCGATCAGTCTGGACGTGGACCGCTGAAGGACACAGGACGGCAGATGGCCGAGCCACAGAAGGTGACAGGACCAGTGTGAAGAGAAACCAGGTCCTGGTGTTTCCAGGTTCTGCCCGACCTGATGCTCCACCTGTGCCCCCCTCCCCCCCTCCTCCTCTTATTCACCTTGACAAGCCCCCAAATTAGTAAACAAACCAACCAACCAACCACGACCGCAGCTGCTCTCAGCCCTGATTTCCTGCACGTTTCTGCTGGTGAATCATGGGACATGTGACAAACACAGTTCAGCCTGGCTCAGGAATCTGCGGGGGGTGGGAGGTAGTGTGTGTGTGTGTGTGTGTGTGTGGGGGGGTCTGATAAAAAAAATATTGATTCTCCCAAACTCCCAGAATGGAAGTCTGGCCCAGAGCCAGTGGGAGTGGGTTCTGTTAATTGGGTCAAGCTGCCTGTTGGATCCATCCACCCACTCACACTCTGACTGCTGAGAAGATGAGGGCTGAAGAGCAGTGCTGTGCCACACTCAACCCCTGGGGGCAGTGTTGTAAAGGAGACAGAGAGACAAAGAAGAAGAAGATCTGATCAGTTCTGCTCTTGTCT